TGTAGAGTGGTTCACATTGGAAGCATTGACCCGTTACGTAGTGTCCTACGGATCATTATAACTTGAGAGATACCGGTATATAATGTCTTTCCGTCACACATATGTGCTCCGCTTCCCATGCTCTTTTCCGCAAGTAGGTCGAAGAGTATCGATTGTGCATGCACACGTTTATGTGCGCATACGTATATACATGTACGCGCGCACTCCGTATTTGCACGTGAATGTGGAGATGTGTGTATGTGTCGAGAATTGGATATGGACCGCGTTCATATCTCGAAATTCAATTTCGAGTGATACACATCGGTACACGCGCACAGTTTATATATCGTCGCGAGATAGAAGGATCGCGCTCTTTGAATTATACAGGGTGATTCGTTTTATCTTTTCGCCATTAGAACGGACGGTAAAAATAGCTATTTAGATGAGACGGAGCAGGAATTAATGAAATTCTAATCGATTTTCCGATTCGCAATTTTATTGTCAAGAATAAGGTTTATTAATAAAATGAAGAAATAGTAAAATAATTTCCACATTTTAATTGTAAACTGCGATTAAATTGTAAACACACATAATGAAAAGGTTAAGTTAATATTGTCTTGTATTACACTATGTTCAGCTTTTATATGTAATTGAACAGTACATATCACAAAGTGCCTCAATCACAGATCATAGATAAACCGTGAAAAGAGGAAATAGCTGTAGTTTCGATCACGATCCTCTTTAAATTGATTCCGACATTGTGACGTCGCGCAAAAAGATACAGCAGATCGGTTTTGCCGCAGGTTATCTCTCTTCGTCCCCGTCGTCTTCGTGTCTCAACGCGTTTCTTCTTCCTTACCGTTTTTTATATAGACAAATTAATTTTCCGTCGGAACGCGCAGCATCGTTGTCGACATTTTTTGCCGCCAGTCGTGATTTAAGGCAAACCGGCGATATGTTCGGTTTTATGAAATTTTTGGATCTTGTTAGTGGGTACGAATGATTCACGACTTGATAAGAATGTAATATGATTTACGAGGTAAGCAAATTTCTCATAAATTAAATTTACGCCTTGTCAGATATATATATGAATTGAGTTATTAAATTTTTCAATTATGATCGTACTATGCTGTGTAAGATAACAATGATCTGTATAAGATTATATGATGAATAATAGAAAACGGGAAGAATAATTTTCCATTTATATTGCTACTTCACATGGTAAATTATTTAAGAAAGTTAAATAATTATATTTGTTTTTATCTTTAGTGAAAATATTGAATTAACACTAAGAAAAAAAATTTAGTGCCTTTAGCAAAATTGTTTAGTTGAGATATTTTTAACAGCAATCAAATATTTTGTTTATGTAACCAAAAATTTAATAGCTTTTTACAAAATAATTTTCCTTTTTCGAAAATAACAAAAATATTTATTTATACTAATTAAACTAAATTTAATTCACGTAAAATTATAGTTATGTTCGGTATATTTTAACAAAAAAATGTTTTTCGGTGTATTTCAATTAAATTTTTGTTACAATAAAATTTTGGTTTTTAAAATAAAATATTTTTTCTTGAGGTATGTATCGATTTTAGTAACAAGCTGTTTCCAGCTTCATTATGCAAAAATATGAAAATTTTTCACTGCATTGTCTGACTGTAATTTCCGATTATGGATTGGCTCATTTTGCTTCAGTACAAAAACAGTCGAAGGATTGCCGGCTTCATTGTGTCGTCGACAATAGGATACGGCAAATTCCGCTTCTTCCATCTTGCTCTCTTTTCCCTGCCTCTTTTCTTTCCTCGGCCTTTTTTCTTTCCAGTCTGCTCGCAGCGGCGCCTTTGTAACTCGCGAAAAAGTTACGTCGCTCTCTCCTAATTGAAACTGCAATCAGTCTATGCAAATAGTCCCCTGAAGGTGCATCCTTCCGTGCAAAGGGCGTGAACAGGAAAGTCGGGAAGCTGGCCAAGGCGCCCTTGTTCCTTTAAACTTTACGTACTATTCCATTAGGATGATTGCATGTGCTGTAAGCACATTGATATAAATAGTTCTTAGTTACTTGTTATAAATAGAAGGTGAAAAAGTTGCAGCAGTCATTCAAAACAATAATGATACGTTCTTTATGCTAACTTCAATCTTCTACTCTTTCGGGTATACATTTTACGTTTTTAAAATTATGTATTTTCTATTCTTTATAAAATATAACACACACACACACACACACACACAAATAATTACATGTTATACAATGAAAATTAATTAAAATATATATGTAATTTCTTTAACTCTTGTTTAGCTACATTATCAAAATGGAATAAAATGTAATTTCTTCTTTTTCTTACTTATATATTTAGGGGAACCTGGGGTATAATGGTTATAGTTAGATTTTTTCAAGTTTTAAACATATTAAAGATAAATAAATCAACTTTGTTATATATTAAAATATTTTTTGAAGTATTTACTATAAGGAAAACTTAAGTTTTACTGCAAAAGTATAGATTAACAGGACGAAATTATTGTTTTGTGAGAGTGTGTCGTAACCTCACTATGTCATTTATGCAGGGCATAATGGAGCACCACAGAAAACTTGTCTATTTTTAAAAAATTAATATTGAACATTGTTTAAAAGTGACTTAGAACATATAATATAAGTAAAAATACATTGTTGCACTTTTAATTTTTAATTTTTTATTAATAATTCTATATGTGATGCTGAGTGATACATTATACAAGGTATACTGTTATTATATTGAACATAAATAAAAATGTTTAAGAAGATAACACAAATAAAATAATTCTCATCATTTTTATCTACACTTGCACATGAATCATAAACTCATTTTAAACATAAAATAGCACTAGTGCACCATTATGCCTCGAAGTACATAAATTTACTTTAGATAATATAAAATATCACAGATAATCAATATATTTTTGTATAGATTTTACTAAAGTAATAAAAAAAGATTATATAATAAGATAAATGTACTTATGATAATAAAAAATAGAATTATGATAATAAAAAATAGAATTTTGTTATTGCTTACCTTATGCGAACATACCAAAGAATCTGTAACTCATTCGCGGACAGTAAAGCGAACACATTAAACAATTTTTAGCAATTTTCAGGTAAAAATAATATGACAACTAATAACAATATATAATAAGATACATCTAACAGTAACTATTGTCTGACAATTCATTACATATTAGCATATCTGTAAAAAGATATCGAGTACATCCCATTATATCCCATGGTTTCATTATATCCCAAGTTCCCCTACAAAGAAGCATTCGTTATATATCATGAAAATGCAAAGCGACACGTGGAGTATTAGGAGCGAGTAAAAACTCTGCCACGATACCTCTTCTGCTTCGACTGCGACGTGCAATCAAGGTTGCCCTTCAACCGGCGACGGTAATCGAGTCCCCATCGGAGCTCGCTAATCACCGGACTTCGATTGCGATTCGTCGTTATCCCGAACGATTTGTCTGTGCGATTGCGAGTGGCACGCGCGAGCGCAGCCACCTGTTGCTTTCGCAGCATGCGAGGAAGAAAGCCCGCGATAATTATTATGGCGAATACGCCAGCGCTCTCTCGCTTTCCTCCCTTTCTTTTCATCGTCGCTATGAACAGCCCTCCTGCTGTTCACCCATTCCCTTTCATATACACTCCATTTTCCTCGCCTTCCGTTTTCTCCGTCACAGTCATTCCTCCTTGAATTATTATTTCTTTCGTCCTCCTCGTTTCGCGGCACTCTGTGTGGACAAAGGATGAGCAAGTGCTTCGAAAAATTCGCCACAAAAGAAACAAGATTCTGTAAAGATGCGAGATCCAACAAACAAGAAAATAACATCGTTACATGAGCAAGAAATTAATTGTGATAAAACTTAATAAAAATAGCAAATCATCTATTTCTATTATTACAAATACTTTTGTTATAGATGTATTTTAAACATCTGTGATATTAATTTGCAAATTTAACATAATTATTATTTGCAAATTAACTCGAAAGCAATTTCTTATAGATTTAATATCAATTAAACTTGTTAAGATCGTTCTAAGATATGTAAGAGTATCGAGTTGTTAAATTGCTCTGGTCAATTTAACTCGTGATATTATTGCAGTAGTTTAGTAGAGAGTTTGCGTTTCAAGATCGAAAAATTATTTCGACGCGCAGTTTAAAGGACTACATATGTAGTATATAAATTCATACAGGATTGTATTATATGAGAGAGAGAGAGAGAAAGAGAGAGAGATAAATTACGGAGATATTAATTGTATACAAGGCATCATTAGATGATCTTAGACTACCTATCGTGAAAGCTTGAAGCTTTCCCTAAAAACCTACAAAATCGTGTTTTTTAAATATTCCTACGATATTTCCTGAGTTATTCGCAGATTAAATAAAAAGGAATATTCTGATTTTATTGCCCGTAACTCCGTTAAAAACCATCGCAAATAAAATCATGTAATTAAAAATACAGATTCTTAAAGCTGAAACGTTGCTCTATCAAGTGATATAATTATCTACTTAAAAAAAATAGAATATATGGATTGCTAAAAAAGTCTTTTTACCAACTTGTAAAAGGATTTTTTTCCTAATCCAAACAGGTAGTAATAAAATAAAAAGAAGGAATTCCATTTTACTTTATTTTAATTAATTAATTTAATCTCATCTTAATCTTTATCTCCAAATATTATATGCAATTATATATCTTTTGCTTATTTAACAAATATTATTTCTTTTTATTGCAACTGTAGCAAATCTTGATTGCTGGTTAAACAAATATAAGTCGACAAATTTTATTTGCTACACCTGCAAATAATTTGCGCTATATTCACAAATGGACTTTGCCGTTACGACAAAGGATCAGCGATCATAGCAAATTTTTTCTCTCCGTGTGGAAACAGTATTATTACATGCACATGTAACTCATTTTTCAAATTACGATTCAAAGGTTAGACGATGATTAGCAGCTGATATCATTTTTATCGTGTTAATGAGCACTATATATATTGTGTTCGTCGACAAGTATTGAATATTGGACTGTGAATGTGACAGAAACTTTTGAAACATTGAAGAGAGTCAGTCGATCGCAGATTATACATTTTCGTACGCCTGAACGTGGAATTTAAAATATGATGTCGTGGCTAAAGGAACGCATTTTGAACTGGTTTCAATTCCTGGCTTTAAGGATCATTAAGGCCGGCGAAGTGCCTAAACACGTGGCGTTTATCATGGATGGTAATAGACGTTATATAAAGAAACAGGGGGGGAAAGAACGGAGACACGTAAAAGGGTATGTATTTTTAAAGAGAATTTTAAAGAGAATTTGCAGATATATTGGCCTATTGTTCATTTGTCTCATATCTTATATTTTATTTATGACAGGTGCGACAAACTGTTTGAGATGACAAACCACTGCAAGAATTTGGGTATTACAGAAATCACATTTTATACGTTTAGTATAGAGAACTTTAAACGTAGCAAAGAAGAAGTTGATGAACTCATGGATTTTTTAAAGCAGAAGTTTAAGTATTACATAGAAGAGAAGTATGTGTAACATAAAAAATTTTTTGAATCAGGTATCACATCGCAGCGCAAAATAGATTTTGTTATTACAAATTTAAATAAACAATTTCCAGAGAAGAATTGATGAACGACGGAATATGCATTCGCGTGATTGGCAATTTGTCCCTAGTGCCAGAAGACCTATATAAAGTAATTGCTGAAATTATGATTATTACTAGGGAAAATAATGAAATAGTTTATAATTTTGCTTTGGCTTATACATGTAAGTATAATTACAATGAACCATATTTATGTTTACACTTGATTTTATATATTACACTAAGGTTGCGTTCAGGGAGTGTGCTATCAGCGTTATTGCATCATCCTGTTTTATGTCATCCTCTTGTTTTATGTCCCATAAACAATTAAGATAAAATCATGCAATAATGCTAACAGTATGCTCCCAGAACACAGCTGAAAACGATTTGAAAAAATTATTGATATAACGGCGCGGGCGTACTCTCTTCAATTAGTTTCGTGACATATATAAATAAATGTTTAATATTTTATATAATTTATATATATAAAAATATATATATAATTTTTTATATATATATTTTTTAATATCGATAAAGCAAGGGATGAAACTGATTACTGACTGTTTGTACACTTATAAGTCTCCAAATCCAGATTTATTAATTCGTACTTCCGGAGAAACTCGACTTAGCGATTTCCTCATGTGGCAAGTAAGAAAACGTATTTAATTTTTGTGACTTGAATCTATTAGGTGCGCAACTAAGTTCCCGCTGTTTGTCAATAGATGGTTCCAGCAGTAAGTGCTGGTCGATTCTGACATAATCTAAACGTCATGAACCAAGCTTAGACATATGGTAAACAAACCGCTTCGACACATTAGTGATTTTGTTTTGACGTTATATTCTTTTGGTTGTGTGAAAATGTCTGATTTTGTGCCAAATAATCGTCATATGCGGGAAGTATTGATTTTCTTCTTTCATTCGAAGAAAACGGCGGCTGAAGCG